GTGAAACGTGGTGTCAAGTAGTTTGTCAAATGCTGTGATGGCACAGAAAGAATATGTAAATATATATATATATATATATATATATATATATATATATATATATATATATATATATATATATATATTATATATATTTTAATATTGCCACAGTGGAATGATGTGCATCATAAGTCTTGTCTTGTTTTAACACGTGGAATCTGTTCCTAATGTCAAACCTCCCCATTCATCAGGGCTTGGGTCTGGCACAGTGCATTCCACTGGATTGTGGACTCCCATGTCTGTAGGTGAAGTTCCTTGCACTGGCCAATGACGCAAACTCTCACACTCACATTGTCATGACAGTTTTGAGTCCACTTGACCACCGTACCCTACATTTGTGTGTATGTATGTACAGATAATTCCCTTCTTAAGAACATTCTACTTACGCACATTCTGTACATACAAACTTTTTTTTAAATACTCAAGTCAAAAAAATTGTTTGAAAGATGCTAGCAAACTTCAAATTTCCCGGGCGTGAATATAGTTCACTAGTCTGCCGTGCTCACTCAGCTGTGGCATCACTCGCCTGCCCTCCCGCCATAAACATGAAAGCCTCTCTTCACTGTCCTTGTGTACCGACAATTTTTGTGCCATACTTCGCTTTACCGGTGCATCAATCCATCAAAAATGTCGGGTGTGAAGAGAAAGATAAATGATGAAGCCAGTGGAAGTGCCAAGAAACGTCAGGCTATAACTTAACAATCTTTTCAATCGGTTCGCCGGCCAGTCACCGCTACAATATATTTTCTTTATGAATAAATTATGTTTCTACATTTAAAGTTGTATGAATCACTATCAAATAATATTAAGAAACTGCTCGAAAAGTGGCGTGTGGTTGTACGCTGCGGTGAGCCAGTAATTCGGCCTGATGTACCAAACCGATTTTTTTATTTGCCAGTCAACCACTACAATATATTTTCTTTTTGAATAAATTATGCTTCTACATTTAAGTTGTATGAATCACCATCAAATAATCTTAAAAGCATTACATATTACAGGTACTGCATAAGGTATGCCGTACTTATTGGGATTTATGTACAGGTATTCTAATGTAAACTTTAAAACAATGGGGAAAAAGGCAATGGAGACCCGACTTTCGACATTCAGTCAAATCGACTTCCGAACAGCCTCTCGGTCCCCATTATGTCCATAAGTTAGGGACTTACTGTATATATATATTTTTTTTCTTTCTAACAGTCATTTATTCCCCTGCAGGACATAGGCCTCTCTCAATTCACTATCGAGAGGTTACATGGCAGTGTGACACTTGCCTGATTGGATGCCCTTCAACTGTGGTTTGGCATGCTAACACTTGTGCCACAGCGGTGACTTCCCCTTCGACACCTGTGTTTGACTTCTCAAGGCGATATGTCATTTCTTGGGCTTGAGCTAGCAGTCAGAGCACAAGCATTTTTACGACTGCAGTGACAGGGAATTGAACTCGGGACCAGGAGGGTCTGAGCCCAGTGCTCTAACCACTAGACAATCATGGCAGACAAAATATTTAACGGCTATTCATTCCACTACTGGAAACAGGCTTCTTTCAATTCACTATTGTGAGGTTATATGGCAGTGTCACCCTTGCCTGATTGGATGCCCTTCAACTGTGGTTTGGCATGCTAACACTTGTGCCACAGCGGTGACTTCCCCTTCGACACTTGTGTTTGACTTCTCAAGGCGATATGTCTGTTTCTTGGGCTCAAGCCAGCAGTCAGACTGCATACATTTTTACGACCACCACAGTGGGGTATTGAATTCGAGACCACTAGTCTAGTGCTCTAACAACTAGACCATCGTGGTAGTTATATATATGTGTGTATGTGTATGTCTGTGTATGTCTGTGTATGTCTGTGTGTGTGTGTGTGTGTGTGTGTGTGTGTGTGTGTGTGTGTGTGTGTGTGTGTGTGTGTGTGTGTGTGTGTGTATGTGTGTGTGTGTGTGTGTGTGTGTGTGTGTGTGTGTGTGAATGGCAGTGTATCAATACTTATTAATATATATTCCTTCTAATTTTTGGAAGGGGTTCCCAACCTCCCTATCATTACTACACTTGTGTAAAAAAATCTAGCAAATATATGCAACATTTCTTACGGCCCCTAATGGCTTAACCCTTTACTCTATGGGACAGTAATAAAAGCTATAAAAAAAAAATTATTACCAAAAACTCTATTCTAAAGAGTATACAACATTTAGGTCTTATTGCCATTGGCAAAAAACTGTCAGGAGACACTTTTAGGTGTGACAAGGCTTCACGTACGACACTTTCAAACCTCCCTCGCAACAGCAATGCTGCCAGTTTTCCTGCATTGTTGCCAAAGGTTTGCCTCCACCCTTATATGTGAGAACTTTACTTAATTTGATTAATTTCACTTTACTTTTCAACTATTTTATGTGATTCACACATTTTACTATCATTGCATTATGGAGAAACAGTACAGGTTGTTAGTTATTAATATCTAAAAATTACCTACCAAATGCCTGTAAATTATTGAAATAAGTAGAAAGCCTGCGTGCAATTAGCAACTTCAAGCCTACCTTTCCTTGTATCAAAACCTTCACTGAATATTTATCTTCTCTGATTAATTTGAAAAAAATCATCTTATAAATTAATAGTTATGATTTTACATCATTTTACACTTTAATATTCAATTATGCATACTGAATAATTAGAACAGCTATGTATAATTCAACATCAATCGTATAGTAATCTTTCAAGCATACAAACACATTTGTAAACAAAACATGAATCGGTCTATAGTTACTACCCCATTTCAACTATAACATTTTTAGTGGCTTTCAGATGCTCGAAGTTACAAGCTTAAATGTCTTTTAAAATCTTTATTCTTATTTTCAAAATAATTTCCTTCTATGCTATTACTCTGCCCCGGTAAATAGGGGCAGAATAAAACCAAAATGTCACACGGCAGTTCCTTGACAGCAGAAATAAAAGCTTTATCCTTTGTTTTCCTTTAACAGTGCCTATTTGCATACAACACACCTTAGTATCATAGTGTATTATTTTCGGTTTTGCAAAAGTACAGTTTTGATCTGTAAATTAAATGTGTACATTTCCTGGCCCATCATTAAATCTTGCAAATGACTCTCTAATAAGTTTCCACTGATAGAATTAATTAGGGGTAAATTTAAATCTGGAATTACATTTGGCGTATGATATGATATGGTATTTCTCCTTTATCATACTTCACTTTCCACACTATTAGTTGTGACCATTTCGCTGAAACTTAGCCCAATGCTGCCGAGGAAAATGAAGCAAAAAATGGGGAAAATGCTGTGCTCATTTTTTATATTTTTTTATGAAATGTCTCTGCACATAGATGGCTCTGCTAGTGCTTAGCCATAAAGGAGTCAATTAGTAGACCTTGTGACCTTACCTGATTTGAATTGGCAGGAAAAATGCATTTTTTACTAGTGCTATGAATATCGATGGTGTTATTTTTATTATAAACATTATAATTACTATAATGTTATAAACATTAGTAACAGCAAAATGAGATAGTGTCTAATATTTTTGTAAATCAAAGAAAAGGGTATACGGGCGAGACGGGCAGTATTCGTAATTGGCTCATTGCGGACTTAGTACAAGTACAGCCATCTATGTGTAAAAACAATTAAACAAGTAACTCACAATGGGCATGGCACGTATGTACACGTCCTGCCCGTCAGCATTGGGTTAAATACAATACATGAACTTCTATCATAGTGGGTATGCCATGTATTCCTGCCATCCACACCAACTGGGTTAACCCATTCGTCCCATGTGGCAAAAATACATGCCATACAAGTTCTTAATCACCAAATAGCCAGTTTATCAGAACTACCCATCTCACCTGTTTACCCTTTTCCTTCACTTTAGGAAAAACTTTTTTGTATCATTTCACTGTCTAAAATATTTTAATGACAATTTAGTAAACATAACATCAATTACAATAATAACAGTATCGAGAGCAATGGTATTAAACTTCCCTCCAATTCAATGAATGGGAAAATCAGGGTCGGTAACTAGGGCCTACTGATATACTCCTTGCTGGCTGACCACATGTGCAGCCGTCTGTATGTAACAAAATTCACTACAGGGGACAGAACATAAATCCGGGGTGAATGGGTTAATTGATAAATCAATTATCCTTTATATTTTAGAAAAAAGCCATTTCACTAGTCTGTTCTTAGTTGTCACACCTACTGTAAATACTTGCAGTATCAGTTAATCCAACTCACTCACTGTCTCCTTGACATAAAATATTTTTTTTATGCCATAAATGTTATTTGGCAGTCTGAAAGGCACTTGACTATACCCCACGGTCACCTCTGAATGGAAAAAAAACAATAATACTTACCTCTGTTGCACTGAATGAAGCTTGTCATCAGCATTTTTCAGCTACACATTATCACTGCACTTTTAGATATACAACTATAGTCTTCTTTTCCATTCCAAAAACATTTTCTTGGTCATAACACCCATAGTTTCAACACAAATCAAAATCCTTATGCAACTTGATCTTTCTAGGTCAAGCGTTGCCATTCAAGACACTTAACGCATACTTGGAGAACTTCAATATCTAATTCTATTTACTGGTTAATAAATTTCTGCTGTATTTTCCTCCTCCATTGACTGTCTCACTTTCACTTCATACCATTGTGACAGAAATTAAATAAAGGAAAGTTTTACTTCCATTTTCTGATGAAATTTTAAAAAATAATTTCTGTGATGTATCTAAATAGTGATGAATAATTCCTTTAAATTTCAAAATTTCATCGCACTTTTACTATTGCATCCACCAACTTCCAATGAGACCAGTCGATTCTTTGCTTTCCGGTTACTTTTTATTCTACATATACTGTTTATTATCTTATATTCAACATTTTTGACCTATATTCAATGATTGCAACACAATAGTCACAAACATAAAATACACACAACATCAGAGGTATAATAAGTACAGATCTTATTTTCGAGTTTTATTAATAATCTTATATAAATCTGTTTTAGCACATCTAAAACTGGTTGGGGTTTGGCTATCTTAACAAAGAATAGAGTGTTTGTTGTATAAACAGACAGCAGTTAAGGCATTGTCTACTCGTCTTCAAATTTTTAACTGTCTAGTTCTTGCACTTTCCTTCCATGACACTGTCTTCAATAGAACACTGATATTTTCCTTTATCAATTTTGTAAACATTTGTGCTCCAAATGTTAGAGTCTGTAACTGCAAATGACAAGAAAAAAAAAAAGTAATAATAATAATAAAATATTTCTCAAACATATTACCTATCACTTTTGATGGAGCAAAGCCACTGCAAACCATAAACAATCATATTGAGATAAAAGGATCCAATAACCTCAAAGTAATTTCTAAGCACTTCATTTTCATTACAGATGAAAACCAAAAGCTTTCTTGAAACTACCTGTGCAGGTGGCAATCCCTAATAACACAAAATGCAGATTTACAATGGCACAATGGTATACCTGTCATATGGAACATATTTCTATGTATATATATATCTTTTACCAAATATCTGGTGATATATCTGACTTTCTTTCCTCCCTAATGACTGTAGGGATCAAAGAGTGTTGTAAATTTTCTGATAATTCCAGAAGCAGTGAGATGTTTGATACTAATGACTTTTAGATTAAAATCCTATTTCTCAACCTTCTTTTTCAATTCACTATGTAATACAGCACTACAATATGAATGCAGTAGTCACCTGACACCTTGAGCAATCTTGTGAATAGCTGATACCAACTGAATAATTTAATATAATGCTCAGACTTCAATTTCATATTCTATTTCTTTGTACACTAGACAATCAATGTTGTATGAAGAAAGATCAGAATTTAATATATGCCTTGTGTTGACCTGTATCGCTTTTTAAAATATATTGCCGTTAAAAAACACTGCCAATTCCTTAAAAAAATTGTCTCATCTCTAGGTGTAAGGCTGTAATGTGTCAGTTTATGACAGCCAAGTTTACAAATTAGATACTGAATTGACATTCTAGGACATACATATTCCCTATGGTGTTTCATGTGCCTAATAATGAAGAAAACTGTGTTTCAACTTTATCTTTAAATTTGTAAATAATTTCATTTAAGTGATAAATCCTCCTTACAAACAAACTGATGGGCTTTGGTAGCTAAATACAGTATATACCACTGGAAAACACAATTGATCTTTTTCTCCCAATGAAAAATAATAAAAAAAAAAAACAATAATAAAGAACGAACAATATTCTGAATCTGTTTCTTTGGCTGGAGGGTACTGTTTCTAATGGTTTGTGAAATGCAGTTATATTCCTGTATCACTTACTTGATATGCAATTTCCTATGTGCTTATCTCCCCACAGAATTTCCGTCACTTTCACTGGCATCAACAAAGCAACAGACATTCATCACATGCATGCCGATACTGTCACACAATTGCAGTACAACATCTTGAAGAAATTGATAACAATTCCATATCTGTCTACTTTGCCTGAGGAAAGTTCTTCTGGTGTCCACAGCTCAATTAGGGGGAAAAATAACCTTTTGAGAAGACGAACTGTCTCTCACTGGGGAAGAAATAAAACTTTCTCCTCTCAGTTCACCAAAAAAAAAAAAAGAAAAAAAAAAAAAAAAGAAAAAAAAGAGAAAAAAAAATAAGGCTACCACTATATCACATCACAGATGAAGAGTGCTTGGTTTTGTTCCCGAGGGGGGGGGGGAGGGGCTGTGGTCCCGTGGTGACCCTGGCTAGTCACTGTCCGAGCCCACTTGGTTATTCTTCTTCCGTTTTCTTGCTGGCTTTTTGACATCTTCCTCCTGCGCAGAAAAATAAAGAATTCAGAATTTAGTAAAACTCTCAACATGATACCGGTATCTGTTATGTAGATCATTCTATAAGCAAACATTTTATTTCTAACATTCAAATAATTCTGTGTCTAAATTTAATTTAACCCATTGCCGCCAGGGAAAATGAACAAAAAATGGGGAAAATGCTGTGCCTATTTTCTATACTTTTTTGTTAAATGTCTGCCCATAGATGGCTCTGTTTGCGCCGATTTGAAATGGCAGGAAAAAACGTATTTTTCACTAGTGCCATGAATATCGATGATGTTATTTTTATCATAAACATTATAATTTTTATAATGTTTTTTAACATTAGTAACAACAAAATAAGATAACATAAGATATTTTGTAAATCAAAGAAAAGGGTGAACGGGCGAGACAGGAGGTACTCGTAACTGGCTCATTGGTGATTTAGTACAAGTATAGCAATCTATGTGTGCAAACAATCTAACAAGCAATCTCACAGTGGCCATGGCATGGCATGCCCGGCGGGAATGGGTTAAATATAATAAGTACTAGATTACAGAGTCTAATATAACTAATATCAAGAGAATTCAAACTCGGTAACAAAAAATGATCTTTTCTTTCTTCTAGGGTAATTCTGCATAGATTTTTTTCATGATATCAATTTTCCAGAAGGAGGTGTGCAGAACTCAAAAAGGCTTGCATATAGAACCAACAAATTTTGCTTTCTTGATGATAATTTCTTATTACTGAAAATGCCATATCTCATACATGACAAAATGTATTTCATGTCCCCTGATTAAGTTCATATCATCCACCAACACAGGTGTGTGAAAATAAATATCTAGCCTTTTTTGCTGTTTTCTACTATACCCTCTTCTTTTTTTACATTACAGATAACATATGCCGAATGTATTTTCCAAATGCCGTAACGGGGATCCAGTCCTGGGATTGGGAGGGTTGGAGACCAATGCTAACCATTGAACCACTGTAGCAGTCAGAGACATAAATACATATATACAAATACACTTAAAAGACAGGCCAAGCTCTTCAGCTCCTGGTATAAAGTGGACTGATACATTTCTTTACTATTATTTTCATCATTTTTTAAATTTCAAACTAGGATTATCCTCAGTCTGTGAAAAAAGTCACACTATAAGGCTTGTCAAAAGGTCTTTCTGCAATATAAATGAATGGTATATACTCTATGATTTAATACTTTGACACTAAGTACATAGTGTGATAGCACTGATAAAAATAGATACAAAAGATATTTCTTGAAATATATAATGCCTTTGATATGGTCTGAAGCTACTTTATTCAGGAAGTTGAAGGATGTTATTTCTTGAACCCTTGATTTAAGAATATAAATTATGTCACATACACTAGTGTCTAAATATTTATACACTGATTCCCACACCATCTGCCTAAAAGCAACCTACTTATTTATGGCAGCATGCTTTTTCTCTCACACACACACACACAAAAGAAAAATGATAGCAAGGATTAAAAAATAACTTCCAAAGAGGAGAAGAGAAAGCAAAACTTATCATAACTTAACTTCTATTCCTTAAATCTAATATTCAACTTTATTCTTAAAACTCACTATCTGGAGACTTGCCTCACTACTCTCTTCTTCGCTTTCTGATTCCTGTTTCTTCCGTCCCTTTGGTTTTCTGCCTCGATTCGACTTGGTTTTTCTTTGAGGTTCAGGCTCCGGCTCTTCCTCTTCCTCTTCTTCAATAAGGGCAAACAAATCACAATATTTTTTCTTCTGCGTTTCAGTACACTGATTTTGGGCTGTTTGCAGTGTGTCCTGCATGGTAGTTAATGCAAAAAATGTTGTTTGACCGCATGCTGTCCGCAAATGGTTCAAATGTGATAACACTTGGTCCAATGGGACTGCACTGGCTTTTGTACTTTGGTTACGTTTCCGTTTGTTTGGCGATGGCTGCGGTTTGTTGTTGACAACATCATTGATAAGCTTTGCCATCTTGTCTTCATAGCGTTGAACCCAATACTGCAGGATGGTAGCCACTGTTGGGTCCTCCAGCCTGCATTCTCTTTGAAGCAGTGTTCTTAGCAGGACCTCTGATGGACTGTAAAATAGAAAAATTATTAATATTTCATTATACACTTATACTTCTTATTTCAGAAAATATTTTCGTTCTTCCACATCACTAACTGCTCCATTATTTGTATATCAAAAGACACAAAGCTTACGATTCTCTTCGTAGCATCATGAGGATATTAGAAAGTGCCTCCCCATGGGTGTTCGTGACAACAGCAGAATGTGAGGTAAACTTGAGCTTCGGCATCACAGACAAGCAACAGTCGACAGGGATCTCATGAGCCTTGGCGAGTTGCCACAAAAAGAGTTGTTCTACCGTCTCCCACTGCAAACTTTTTTCTGCAAATGTAAAATTAGTATTTATTCCACTCTATTCTATCTTGTTATCACAATAAAGAAAGAAAGAAAGAAAGAGAGAGAGAGAGAAAATAAGTTCATATTTACATCTACTCAGCAAATCTACAAAGTTCCTTTACATAAAGACCGAATACAGAAAACAAACTTACCTAAAATTGCTGCAAAAGAATTGTTGTCAAACATTTGCAAGGATCCTTGCAGGACCATGCACACTAAATCGTGTAACTGTGATGAGTCTAGTCTCTCTAACACTAACTGTAACAGCTCAGCATTTCCCATTGTCTGTTTGGTAAAGCTATTGTATATATCAGGTATAATCCAGCTTAGCACTCTAGGATCTTCCTCGCTACACAGCCGCAGGTCTCTGATTATGAATCCTGCAAAGTCCTTCAGGCCCGCCGCTTTGTACAGGTCACGGTAGATGAGGAAATAACGTTCATTATTTTCTTGGACTTTCTCTGTTTTGATGTTTGATGATTTGAGGAAGTACAGGAAGTGATAGCCAACTTGCTGTGAAATCTTGTGCATCTCTACCAGTAACTGCAGCTGAGGCTGTCTTCGACGATCATCCTCAGGAAGAATGACAAGGTTGTCAAAGAGGACGTACAGAGGTCGCCCGAGGCTTTCCTGAATACCCCTGCAAGCAACACACAATAAATAAAAAGAAAAAAAATATTTACCTAATGGTATACAATTGAAAAATGCACTTTATTTAATTTACAATGAACACTATTCAGTAAAATACATGCAGAGTATAGCTGTACTAAGAAAAGAAGAACTAAAAAAAAAAAAAAAGACCCATTGTAATACGGCAATGCATTACATCAGGAGGATAGTAGATTCTCCAGAAATAATTGTATTTCAAGGTTTTCTACATTTCCACTTACTCTGGGCTGATGTCTTGAGGCAGGAGTGAACAGCCAGGATGCAGGTCGTCGTGCAAGATGTGACACAGGCATGCTGCTAAATTTGATAACTCGTCCTGAGCTAGGTCCTCACTTAAGAGATGGTTGCACACCTTCTGAAGCTGGTCACATCTGAAATCCATATTCTTGCTTCAATATCTTCAACATACACATAGATATTATCTATTACATTACTTTATCTCTTGGATCCAATGATGCCTGTCATAGCAGTAGGCCAGTTTCCCATGGTCTGGCCTTGGGAATGCCTTTCGTGACAGAGCAGCCCTGGGTGGCCTACTGCTTTAACCGGGAGTGGTGGCTTCAAAGGGATCATTTGCCCAAGAGGATTTCCAATGTAAACTTGTCAATTTTGTTTCCTCCTTTAGAGACGGACTGCAAATCTCTCTGAAATCACAGCATATATTCAAGTTTTTTTTTTTTATCTCATAATCATGGAACTGATGAAAAAGCTTACAAATATCTAATAATCCTAAAATGCATTTAAAAATTCAAACACTAGCCCTATATGGCAAAATACAGGGACTTGCTGTGGACTATATATATAATGTAATAAATATAATAAACAAGGATATGTCAACCAAATTTAAATAACACTAAGGTGCAACTTGCAAATACATATAGAAATCAAGAATCCTGGGACTCAATTTTCCTTCTTTGGAAGTGTACAATCAGCAAAACAGATATGGCTTCTAATGTGATGATTTCTAATGCATTACATGTATTACAATGACACTCTTATAATCTCCTTATATTTTATCACTGAAAAAAATTCTGTATTACATTTCTATCGGAGAAAAAAAAAAGTAACAATAACAAGAATAATAATCACAAAAACAACAACAAAAATAATAATAATAATAATAGTTATAACAATGATAATAGTAACAATAACAGTAATATTTATAATAACATTAATAATACTATCAATAACAACAAAACAACAACAATAATAACTACATATATCAAAGACAGTTCAAATTAACCCCAATGTCATCAGGATTATGTACTGTTCCCTCTAGATTTTAGTGAATTTTGTTACATACAGATGGCTCCACGTGTGCTCAGCCAGCCGATCCTGATTTCCCCATCCCTTGAATTGGCGGGAAAATGTGTTTTTCTTTTCGGTACTATTAATACTGACACTGTTATCATTCTTATTGATATTATGATTATTAAATTGTTATCAAAATATTAATAATATCAAATACAATACAATACTAGAATTGAAGCTTTCAAAAAATGAAGGAAAAGGGTACACAAAGGAGACAGTTAAGACTAATAGCTGACTCCTTGGTGACTAAACATTTGCAGAGCCATCTATGTGTAAAGACAATAGAAAAACTTTTATTACAGTGGGTATGACACTGTGATCTTGCCACCCATTGCCATTGGGTTAATATAAATCAGGGCAATAAAAATCCACTGTAAAACTATACCCTTTGCCCATGTTAGGCAATTATAATCTTTTGCCTTAGAAATACTTTTTTGTGTTTCCAGGCAGTGGCAAGGCCCTTCCAGCCTGTTGATCAGCCCAGGAGATGCTGTCATCTGTCCCTCTGTTTTGTATAATGATATGTTTTGTGGAGCATAAACAGACAATGACAAACAGACAAACAGACAGGCACGCAGAAACACAAAAACTGGCTATTCAAATGAACAAAAGATATTTTATAAAAATAAAATAAAATAAAAAAAATATATATATTATTATTGTTTTACTAAAGATGAATACAAATGATGAGTACTATCATTGATATCCATATACTCATAATGCATCTTATTAAATACAATAATGAATTCTACTGAAAGATTTTCAGGCTTCCTCATGCTTTTAAAAAGTGTTTAGTAAATTGTGAGTAATTATTGTTGATTTGGAGGAAGAAGAGGTCTAAAAAAATATATTTTTTTACTGCTTTGTTTTCCTGCTGAGCAATAATTAATTCCTCATTAAAGATACTGTCAAAAAGAAACTTTTACAATCTACTGGTTGACAAAAAGTAGCTTAACCCCTTGGTGCCGGGTGACGCCAATCGGCGTGAAAACAAACCGCTCGAAAGCTGGTGTGCAGCCAAACGCGGCGGTGGCGCGCCAAAGCTGGCGAGCCAGTGATTCGGGCTGATGTCCCCTACTCACGCACTCAAAGTCAGCACGCTGCCTTTGTTTGCTAGAGCGTAGAGTTTTTGTTTTGTTTTGTACACTCGGCGTCATTGGGTTAAGAGGATGAAATTACATTACTGCTTGAGTCGGTATTACAAAGAAAAGAATAAAAGCCTGCTTTCTATGCATATAAATCTTTTACATAGAAAGTTCTGTGTTGTACATTATTTTCCCCCATCAAACAAACCTCAACATATTAAAGCATCATCAACAACGATGTGTTACTTTTAACCTTAATGGATTAATGCAAAGGTTAGCCACATGAGATAAAAATCATAAACGGCAGGATAATAATGTCTTTTATTACTATCAATTAACTTATTTAAATCAAATCACTATTTTTTACTGAATGCTTAAAGAAAAAAATATCTATATGTATTTTAGCCAACTTTGGAAAACCATAGTTTGAGAATTGATACTGTACGAGTCTAAATCTCCATTGTTTTGATATGTCCAAGTTCCAACGCAAGTTCCCCCTAAGATCCTTTTTTTTTCAAATTCAAAAACATCTATATATTCATGAAATGTTCTTTAACTATAGTGTTCATTTTTTATATTTTTGTGAAATGTCCCTGTTACTAGGGCTCTGCTAGTGCTTAGTCATAAAGGATTTCACCTTTCCTTGAATTGGCACAAAAAACATTTTTATTTGTGCTATAAATATAGATGGTGTTACTTTTATCATAAACATTATAATTCCTAAAGTGTTATAAACATTTGCAACAGCAAAATAAGACAACGTTAAATATTTTTGTAAATCAATGAAAAGGGTGAACGGGCGAGACAGGAGGTGCTCGTAACTGGCCATCTATGAGTGAAAACAATCAAACAAGTAAACTCACAATGGGCATGGCATGAACATACATGTCATGCCCGTCGGCAAGGTTTTAAGAGTTAAGCTCTGCCTTTCTGCCTTTATTCAATGCAAATATTAAACATCTTTTTCTTTTCTAGCTTTCCTTTTCAATTATTTTAAAAGAAAATGTACTGGGGAGAGAGAGAAAAAAAAAATCATAGACTAACAAAATGGGGGGCAAGATAATGATATTAACATGTGCAAAGAGATATCAGTATAGCTAGACGATCATCTGTATAATTTATGTGATATTGTTATAATTACCAGAAGAAAATCAAAGTTCCTTTCTTCTGTTTAAGATAATACTATTAACAGTCATCAGAATATGCTTGGGAAAAAGTCCACAATACAAGTTAGCTTGGACTGTCTTTAACAAGAACTTTACCAAAGTTAAAAGTAATGTTGTTTTATAGCTCACTGGTAATAGTACATTATGAATTTCCTGTTAACCCTTAGCCTCTGGATGATGTGGAGTTCACATCATGGCTAACTTGGTCATGGGTCCAGGTGACAGGTCATTCATGTCATGGCCAACTTGGGTGCAGCTTTGGGGTCATTCACTTCACCTTACTATGATGCCTCCACTGCACTTTATACTACTGTTTATAATGTTGTTTATAACCCTCCCTCATGCAATGTAATGCTACTAGCAATTGTGTTTTATAACAGGTGATATTTAGCATTTTAATAGTTTGTCTCCTATGCCTGGAAGACGTCACACACCATAACATTGCACTTTCTAGCTGATATGAACCAGTACGTAATCTTCACACTAATTTATATTAAGAGTTTTCTTGTCTCAACTACTCAAACTGTCCTTTGGCGCTCTGTAAGTATGACCATCTTGAAGTATCACACAAATGTAGGAGTACCAGCCTTCTATAAATTTGCATACTGTCTCTAATCTCGTGAAAATAAGATTAGCAAAAGTGAGAGACAGTTATTTTTTTCATCCCTCAATAAAATCACATACCATATTGGACACTGCAAAATATCTTATTCACTGAAATGGACCCTAATGTCCATAATCAGGCAACTACAGGTTTGATCTCCCTACTAAATTGAATATCATGCACCTCTGAATATGTAAAAACATGAAATGACTTATTTGCAAACCTTTTATTGCATTTTGTATCTGGTTTGCACACAGCTTTCTCCAACCCATCTACACCCTAAAAACCTTATGAGTTCACAGGGACAATGTATATCAACCAACAAATGAAGCGAATACTTAATTGTTATCAAATTCGGAAAAAGCCGCTCTTCGCCAGCTCTACTCACTCTCCCAACCCTGCACCCGTACCTTCCCGTTTGTCTGTCTGCCCTTGCTTCTATCCTGCCAGCTGTATGAAAACTGTTAACACATCATTACCATTATGTTTGTGTAATTTCAATCAAGTTCCTAACGACTGCTTGTCCAAAGATATGACCTTACTGTAGGAATTATATGAAGCCCAGTGTCTAGAGGTTAAGACTATATAACAAACAAACAAACAAAAAAACTATATATACATAACAAGTAAATAAATAAACAAATGAACAAATGAACTTCAATGTCTGGAACCAAGTACTTATGCATTTCCTGATAATATAAACATACTTACTATAACATTCTTGCGGTCCATATCATTTGTACCAATCAGGGCCAGCACACAAAGTTTATATTGAAAAGTAACAATAAAAAAAAAATTCAACCCAGATCCGATTATACCTAAATAAGTATTTGTAAGATGTATAATTAGATAAATTCTGAATAGGAGCTGAACTACATCAGCATATATTTTCTTTTTTT